CCCCAAAACCCCCAAAACCCCAAAACCCCATTCGAATAAAAATGCCTTAAATGAGCATGTGGTTGTGTAAATCTTATAATAAATTTATTAAATGGATTCATCTGTCCAAAAAGTATAAATTAATTTGAAACCACATCTTCCAGATATTGAAATAAATCTTTTCAGTAAAAGTTTATCTTTATACTAAGAAAATAAGAAAGATGCTTTTAATGAATTCAAAAGAATATACAAAGAATAATAAGAATAGGAAAATGTCTAGAATGCATTACAGGCTCAGATTTACATTTTAAAAATTCAAGTATGGTTTACTAATTATTTGGCTGTCAAGAAATTACTTGAGATTTATTAAGAGTCCCTATTAAAACTAAAGAACAAATTGACAGATGAAAAATATAATGAGCTTTAATACTTTAGACTTCACATGCTCTACAAATGGTTGCCTGGAATCTCCTTAAATTCAATAGAGTCTTACATGTCAAATCTAAAATCTCACTTGCTAGAGTGCACTTTGAACTTGGAAATCATTACGAGAGTAAAAAATTATTCTAAGAAATTAAAACTTAAATCAAAACAGATGATCAACTTGGAAATGATAAGAACTTGTGACTTTCACTTTACATTGAAAAATCAAAGTATTTCTTGAGTTTGAAACTCTTCAAAAAGTTTGCAAAATATGTGTTAAGAATGTATGATTGCCTTGATCAAGATAAATAAGTAAAATAGAAGTAGATATTGAAATTCTTATCTTAAGCAATCCTAAATTAATCTATCGAGCCTAAATTAGAATAAGAAAAAGAGTCTCAGAGAGTGAACCAGATAGATTTTCTGGAGATTAATGACAGTGTTAAACTGCCTTTATTTTCAGTAGTCATGGAATCTCAATTCTAATCATTATTCTACATAATTAGAGATCTCACAACTCCTATTCACTAAAGTGCTTTATTTGAATATATTTAAGAATAAGATAAATCTACTTGAAGAGTACATCTTTATATAAGACGACCTTAATTTTATAAATCTTAAATTCAGGATATTGAAAACTATTTAATTAGTTTCTTCTAATGACTTTAAATTAAAAATAGACTCAGTAGAATCAGAATTTCGTTAAATTATCTATGACTACAAAGAATATCTTGATAACTTTGAGTACTAGCAAATCATAATTAAAGCAACAAAAATAATTATAGAATTCACTAAGTTTGAGGCTATAGAAGATATTTTAAAGGATACTGTTATTGGTTAGATATTTTTATATAGAAGTGAAACCTACCCTCTCAGTATTTATAGTTGCTATCCAATTTTAGATTTAGCTTAAAAAGTGAAATTCATAAATTGAGGCATTTCAACTAGCCTATTTTATTAAGTAGAATTTGAATTCAAAGCAGTAGAGTATGAAGATATCTACTTCAAAAAGGCAAGTGAAGTTTTTCCTCATAATTATATGAATTTAGTAAAAGCAAAGAGGATAATTGAAGAACTTAATCAATAACTTACAAATCTATAACTTGACCTTAAAACCCATAAAGAAAAAGTAGAGAATACAATCACATAATTATCAAAAGATTTATTCCATAATCAAAGAGATCATGAGATTGAATCTATCCTTTTTACATTAATTAAAGATTTTCTCAACTCCTTATCAAATTTTTCAAATGAATAAAAGCAAGAATATGAAATTTATTTGTAGCGATTATTCTATAATTAGCTAAAGTACTCTGCAAATTATTATACTGAAGACTCTGATAGGATTCTTTTCGGATTCATGGTTTTCTTTATGAATCAAAAGAGGATTTAAGAATTTTAATAGGCCACCTATGACTTGATAGACTTCAAAGTGAATAAAGATTTAGTTCAAGATCTTGCATAGATTATGCCAAATGTGATTAGAATGATTTATAAGTTAGGAGATTCTTAATTTTTAGTCGAGATTATAGATAAAACACTTGAACTTCTAAAGAATCTTCCTGTGGTATTCTGTGCTGATTAAATATTTATGGAAAACATTTTGATACTTTTAACTGATTTAAAGTTATTTGAATTAGGCTTAAAATACTCAGAATTATCATTAATTCTTTGTGAGAGATATTGATAACCTGAAGTAGATAATGATTAATACTTGAAGTTGAAGAAAAGATTCCTGCTCTTCAAATATGAATGTTCCCTTTAAATCAGTAGCAATTACTCAAGATATGAACTTAGATAAATAGAGGAGGATATAGATTCAATTGAAACAATTATTGGATTGGAAGGAGATGTTCGAATCAGACTAGCAAAGGTTAAATAAATACTCAGGGCTTTAGTTGAAAAATGCAAATAGGTTATGCTACTTAAGACTCTAGGCTTTGGAGCACTAGCTTCAGGACTAGTGATAACTGCTGTTATTTACCTTACTAAAAAGAGAAATTGAATAACAATAAAGTAAAATAGAGAAAATAGAGAGGACGAGTTCTTAATTTATAAAATTTATAGAAAGATTTTAATTTATATTTTTTAACTAATGTAAATATATTGATCATAATTAATTTATTTGGATTAAATTCATCTTTCGGGGTTTTGGGGTTTTGGGG